CATAAATCATCTTGATGCCCACTTCCCACCACCTTAGCAAGCTTCGGTATCGATTTCTGTTTAGATCGATACTGATTTAACTTTGTTACCATAAACAAACAATCTAAAAAATGTTTGCCATAAAAGACAAAATGAGCGAAACGAAACAAAACATTGATTTCATTATCATTAAACTCTTCACTAAAAGAGATGGGGAAAAAAAAAGTCGTTAAAGCGTGGCATCCGCTTTCATGACCAAATTGCAGAACATATGGAAGATTGACATCAAGCTTCCAAGTAAAATTAAAACTGTATTCTTCGCTAGCCATCTATGTACTTCTATATGGTTGTGAAAGTTGGGCACTGACCGCTGAGGCCGAAAGAAAAAGAATCTGAGATTTTGAGAGTAAATGCTACAGAAAAATGCTGGGTATCAGATACCAGGAACAGAAGACAAATGAATTTGTACTTTTACAAGAAGTAAAAAAGGAGGAACTCCTCAATACTGTGAAAATACGAAAGATGAGCTGGTTTTGGTCATATTGTAAGGTATGTCTCACTGTCTGAAGTCATCCTTCTGGACCAAGAAAGGGTCGTCCAAAGAAAAGCTGGCTGGACAACGTACAAGAATGGACCGGCCTCTCTCTTGATCTCCTGATAAAAACAGCTGCTGACCGGGAAAAGCGGAGGGATTTAGTTAAGCGAACTGTCTCAGCAACCCTACGAGAAAGTCTAGGGACAGATGATGATGATGATGATAAACTCTGTGTCAGTCACATTATGAATATCCTAATAGAAGAAGCTACAGTGAGAAAATGGCAGTCTTTTTAAAGCCTCAATGTCTTGAATTTCTACAATTCATTGATTGTCTTATACAACTAAACTGAACTTGTACACAATCACACCAAGGTGCATAGAGAGTCATGATAGAGTTATGCTAAGCAGAGAGTCATGATAGAGTCATGATAGAGTCATGCTAAGCAGAGAGTCATGATATCTAGAGAGTCATGCTAAGCAGAAAGTCAAGATATCTAGAGAGTCATGCTAAGCAGAGACTCATAAAATCTAGAGATCAAATTAACTTTATGTCCACCCTTTCAGAGACAAATACACTATCTAGAGAGTCATGATATCTAGAGAGATGTGGTATACAGAGAGCCCCAGTCTTATTTTTAATACCTACTATTACAGTGTGATTACATTTTACAAGGCATAAAACACTAAAACATAATTTACAAATATAAAAACACAACTTAATAAAATTCTCCGAAAGCCACAAAGAAAAAGGCTAATTTCTTATTCCATATGCTAGGATAAATTTGTACAAGTCCTCCTTCTTCACTAGTGCCATTAGAGCTTAGAATGGGTGGCCTAAATCAGCCAGGAAAACCAATGACAGAGTTTAACTCTCTAATAATTAACATTTTCACTACGTGGATACATGCAGGACATAATTATGAGATAATATAATTTTATTGGTCCAAACAAAGGGAAATTCATTTTGACTACAACTGTTCGTGCACCTCAGCATTATTACTAAAACAATAATAATATATAATTATTTTCTGTTAATAAACAATTTCCGTAATTTAGAAGATAAGATTAAATTAAAACAAGCCATATAAATAACCCTGAGGAAAAAAGTTTCCTTTAAATGTATGACATTTCTATACTCTTCAGACATCCATCAACCTAATGAAATATGTGATGAAAGGTGATGAATTTCATTCCATTAGACTTACATGTTCCATGCTAATGTTCCCAGGTGCCTAGTTCCCTTCACATTCATACAAAATATATATATATATTTCCAATCAATACAAAGCTTTAAATATGTTTAGAAAATAAAATGTAAATGTTGCAGTTTACTCTACAGACACTAAATTTTATTTCTTATATATCTTATTTAAATTAGTTTATAGATTGCAGATGTTACTTTAAAAAAAGAAGATAATTACGTTCTACAAATTTCATGTGTCAGTCTAGTCATGCATGTTAATCAATGACTTAAACTTTGCTAGGTCATTCAGGAAACCCATTCCATTCTCTAATGGCACTAGAAAAATAATAGCATTGCTTTATGACAGTAATGTTTTCATAGCAAAGAAATGAAAATATACTAAACACTTATTATACTTTATATTTGCCTCTGAAAGGGTGGACATAGAGTTAAATTCATCCTTCCCTATGGATACATCCCATTGATTTGTTAACATATCATGTTTAAATTATCAACCACTACAAAATAATACCTCTCAATGAATAATAAATTTTATCATAAAACCTTTAGACAAATAAATGAAACTAAATCTACACTGTTATTTGAACAGTATTAGATACATTACAAGAACAACAGTCAGACATCATGAATACTTAGTACAAGGGGGCCATTCATCAGATCCTGTCAAACATCCTAATAGTTGCACAGGTAGACAATGACAGAATAACAGACAGGAGGACACTAACTGGATTGAAGGCAGCTTGACAGTGACAAAAAATTAGACAGGTGGATACTAACAGAGAGACAGGTGGACATGGTCAGCTGAGAAAATGAGTGGTCACTGTCTTGGTAGGAGAGGCAGAGCTGAGAGAATAGAAGACAGGTGGATACTGGCCGACAAAAAAGACAGATGAACATTAACAAGAGATGAACACTGACATAGAGGCTAATGGATCTGACAGAGAGAATGTCTAGTGACACCATTAAACCTAATGTTTAGTAACTTGTTCATATAGGTGCAATGAATTGCACTTAGGACATCACTCAGAATAATTAATCTAATTCTATTTTTTTTCTGTTATGCTATAGATACAAATATTATAAGTCAAAAACTTTTTGAATAAAATTTAAATTTTTGTAAGCCAAAAAAAAATTTTATTATACAATGTGAAACTTAGTTAACACAGAAAAAAAATCTGTAATGTGTATTCAGTCATTTGTCATTTTTAAGCATCTGTTCTGGTAAAAGTCAATATTGTCAGAAGATCTATTAGACACATGTCTGTATCTTTTCTTTTATATTGCATAAAGACAGCACTACACTTCATTTAAAGGGAAACTCAATAAAACTCATAACTAGATCTTGTTAAATCTTGTATAGTTATTTACCAAACCCAGAAGTGAGAAGTGAAATCAGCTACTAAAAACAATAATAAATTAAATAAATTAGCTATTATTCATGTAAACTACCCAAATCATTCAGATAGTTCTTATAAATCATTAACTAGATCTAACTGTATTGTCATTGTCATATGAACAAATACAGTAGTGCAACATCCTATCATATATGATATCATATGGTATGCCTTTTTTTTTTATGTAATAGATATTAGATTCTAGATTATAACTAGATATGATTATGAGAGTCTATATCTATATTGACTATATCAAGTGTCTAGACTAATAATAATGAAATTCAAATAACCTAAAAAAAATAAAAAATAAAACACATACCAATTCTTCGTGCAACTCAGCAAGTGTTGGTCTGACTTTAAGGTTACCTCCTGTGGCAGAAAATATGTTTCTGTAGTGATCCACACATGGCAGTGCTTCAATAGTATTCATAACACAATTCGTTTTGGTATACTCAATGGAACCTCTGCTCCTCATCGAATCCCCACTGAGTGAAAATGTGGCACAGGGAGATTCTGGACAAATACTGAAGTCCACTCGACCATCATTACTGGTACTAACGGGTGTTGTCGTATCAATATTCGGTAAGTTTGCAGATTTCTTGTGATCCGGCGACTTTTTACGGCTAGAATGCTTGGAGATCGATTCGTTTGTTTCGATGTCATTACTTTCTCGAGCATCTTCATCTTTAGAATCAACCCGAGCTACTTGGAACCGTGATCCACTCTTTTTCATTTCATCTGAATTTACATCCATCGTCAACGCTTTCTTCGACATCTGAAATCCAACCAAACATTTAGAAGACTATAAATAAGACCTGTGTACTTCTCCACGACTAGTCGATAGAATGACGGTGCCACTGCACATTACACCACTTATGTATAAGCGCCATGATATTTAATCGATTTTTCACATCTGCCAGTAGTGAAAAGACTTGGCCGATTACTGAAAGTTGGCGTAAAATTAAAAAAGTATGTCTGCATATCGATAGAAGATATTTATTTTTAGACTTATAGATATGATCGTTAATCAAAGTAATAGCTTAATTAATTTTCTTGCGTTAATGTTGCCAACAAAAGTATAAAATGGTAACTAAGGAAAAAATAAAAGCCAACCTGGCAAGTACAAGATTTAATTATTGTAAATTAGAGTGCATTCCCTTGTCCTGCTTATTTTGATCCTATGACGAACTAGTGATCTACTTACTAAAAGTAGTATAGCTCAAACATTTTAACAAGAATGTTTGTGTAGGGAGATTTTTAATGGGTGAACCTTATATATTATTGTTGTTACGGTATTGAGAACTACTGGCACATGTAGAGGCTGGGCTTCGTGATAGGTCTTGTTCCACGCGTTGTATTATTACTATTATCTGGTCTGGCCAACAGATGAAAATGTCAACATTCGTTGTTTTTTTTTATTGTAATGAAAGAAATCAAATTCTTCAAACAATTTCTTTTCAAAGTAGATCAATATATATTTTTTTTTAATTATAATTTTAAAGCAATTGGTACTGCAGTTTTGTAGACCTGGAGCTATCTTAAGTTGTATATTTATATACCGGTACCCTAACCTAAGAGAAACTTGTTTTATTTGTAAAATTCAAAGAAGGGTATCAAAATTGTATTGCAAATTTAATTGCTGTGTGTGTTGCATAATTTGTTATTACCATCCCCGCCCCCCAATTTATAAAAAAATTCAATAGTGAAATAGTATTTCATTTATTGATAATATTACCTAAATTATTAGCCTTGGAAAAAATTTTAGTCAAAGCAAAGCCCCAACAAAAAAAAAACTTCCACTTTCACAACTTTCAATTTAACAGCACTTTTTCTTTTAGCCATCCACACACTGTCATTATTAAGTTAAAACAAAAAACAACCCAAAGTTTTTGAACAAGATAATTGTTTTAATAGGTAGCTGGACAAACATTGTATCAATGGCACATCTGTTTCTACTTAACCAAGAATATAGCTTCTATATTCCTACCTGTATCAGTCTACTAAGTAGTCAAGTAAAGATGCACTAATTACAAATGAATGCTCTCCAAGTGAAGAGTCCTCTCCACCAACCACCAAGTTGAAACTTCAAACTTAAGTTACTGAAAGCTTTGGATCAAAAGAGACTGGATGAAATAATAAACAACAAACAAAGTTAGACTCAAAAGAGCAACTCGAGTGACTTAACTGACGCAAAGTTAGACCCAAAAGAGTAACTCGAGCGACTTATTGACTCAACAGAGTGACTTAACTGACTCAAAGTTAGACTCAACACAAAAAAAATATCTTTTTTCATTTTTTTAAAAATTGTAAATTAAACAGCATGAAAAGTGTCAGTAACATGTAGCCATGTAGTGAACTTGTTGAACAAAGAACCCATCACCAAATAGTTGCAAATGTCGCAGTTGAATTGGAAAATGAACATAAGGATTCACTAAATTCAACTTCACTAATAAAATAATGCAAACTAAAAAGTCAGATTTTAACAAGGGGAGACCGAAAAAAATAATTATGTTCAGTTCAACAAATCACAATGCAGCACTAATAATAAACTGGTACTACTGGATATCCAGTTGGTGGCTGCCAACTGATCCAGTTAAGATTTCTGTAGTGCCTGCTTGAAAATTGTTTGGTTCATGTCATACAATTGAACAAAATTGTACTTGAAATCAAATAGTAACAAGTTCATGCAAATAGTCAACATAAATAAAGAGTGGTAAAAAAAAACTAGAAAACATTAGATGAGAAAAATCATGAGCTTTGAAATACTGTTTCAAATAGGAGATCTTAGAAGTCAACTGTCTCCGACTAATAGAAATGAGAGCTGAACAAAATGACAGAATCAATGAGACACTTGAACTTAAGTCGAAAGCTTAGGAGATAATAAAAAAAAAAAAAAAAAATACACACTGAACAACAGTGATTGAAACAGCACACACACATCAGGACTCCTGAGGTGATTTTCTCTTTGTGCTAAGCTGGGTCACTACTAGTTGAAAGACAAGGAAATCATTTGGTTTAGAACTGACAACAACTCAATGACTTTCCCTACTGTCACGAATGAATCAAATAGTTTGGGAAACAAGTCTTCAGACAAAATACTCTAACCTCCACAACTGGACTGACACACAATATATTGGATGAGAATGGCTATTGCCTAGAAACCACTGAAAAAGATATATAGATAACCCATTTCTGTGTTTGACTGCTAGTACATTTTATCTTGTTCAAGGTTTTGCATATATTATACTTTCAGTGAGTACAAAAGCGTATTCTCACTATAAAAATACATAAATATTATAATAGATATCAACATATAGAAAAAATAAAGTCAAACAATAAATCTTCTCAGGTTCACATCAATCTTGTTTTGATCTCCAACCAATAGTGTTTATAAACAAAATGGTCTAACAAGGTGTACATATAAATAGATATAGTCTTTATACCAACACACACTCACTCCAAAATCCAAAACAAGATTTTAGGCAAAAATCACAATAAATGTAGCACAGTCTAAACATATTAAGTATTTTGTCTAACAAAACCAACAAACAAAATTTGGCTTGGGCAATGCCAGCCTAGCAGAGGGAGAAAATAACAACAGGAAGTAGTCTTGTTCGTAGCTGAAGAAGGTCAAGGTCAGATGAAACTAGGAGATTTCTTCAGTCACTTTGATTTAGGTCAAGTAGTTGAGTGACATTCTGCCCAAGCAACAAATTCCTATCCTACATGAGTTGCTGAGGTGCTCCAGGTCTTGTTCTTCGGGGAGCAGGTTGAGCTCGGGAGAAAGTATTCATTAAGGAGCGTACACGTCTTTGTGCCGACTGAGTGGCGTAAAAGTGACCAATGATAGTGACTGGAACTTCGTCGACATCTCCCTGTTCTTCCATGGGAAGCTGGACTATGGCACCACTCACGCGCTGCATTTCTTTAACCTGAGAGAAAGAACAAAAATTTAGACCTTAAAAGAAACAGACCAACTCTTGAGATTAAAAGACTCAAATAAAACCCTGATAACTTGTACAATGTAAGTCAACTTACATTCTGACCACCTTTGCCAATAATTCTTCCTATACTCTGTTTGGGGACCATAATCTCTGTTCTAAGATGTACCTCATCATGTGCAGCAAGTCTTAATTCATTTTTCACCTTTTCAAAAATGTAGAATTGAGCCTGTGGACAAAAATCAATCAATCACTTTTTAATATTTTTTTATTTTGCTTACCCAAAAACCTAGTATGTTTCATTGAGTAATTAATATTGTACAACATGGTCATCAGTGAAAAGTTAAGTTCCCCTTTCAGACCTTGCAATCTTATAGAGAGGATGATGTAAAAGTGTTCTGTTTCTGTGGCCCACAGTTAACGAGGGTGTCCTGACTAGCACAATGACCAACCACCTTTACTTTTCCCCAACTATTGTCAGGTACCCAATTAGAGCTGGGTGGAAGAAACACCCAAAAGTAAAAATCCCAGTCTTCACATTTAGGTCAAAGAGAAAGACCTGAAAAATAAAGACTTGAAAATAAATCTGAAAAGCAAGTAAGCATTCTTCGCTTCTTATTCTAACCAGCTTATTACTGCTGAACTGTAGGCTCTTCAGCAGTCTGTCATATGGTAAAGTAACAACCTGGTTCTCTCCAGATAAGGAAGCCCTAATGGTAACACGACAAATGTTTAAAGCTTGAAGAAAAAAACAAGTCTGCACTTTGTACTTTAGCTCAAAGAATAATGACCCTCTGAGACAGTAGAAACTTGACCAGAATATATTGTGTTGTTTGAGTGGAAATATACAATGTGAGTCAAAAGTCACTTGTTCGTCTCTGTGCACCATACTCACAGCTGATAAGACTAGTCCTTTTTGACAATAGTTTTAAACAGCTCAAAACACTAGTAAAACAACTAAGACAGATCCTCTAATACACTCACAATAATAAAATATACTCCATAAAATATAAATATGCATTACCAGTATTCTTGTTTTTGTCCTAAACCATTTGAAAACATTTCTAAAATCCCCTTTTCAATATACTTGCTTTAAACTTTTAAAATAAAAGATTTCTTCTAGTCTCATTGCAAGCGTGATTACTGATTCTATTTTTAGTAAAAAATCAAAAACATTTTTATTGCTTAAATAATTTTTCAAATGAATAGGCCCATAGCCCCAGTGTATAAGCCCCCACCTGGTAAAAGTATTTTTTGAAGTTTTTTTGATATTCCAAAGGTATTAAAAGTATATATTTTTTTTAACTATACATATCGTTCTATTTTTAAATTTGTTTGTTTATTTATTAGTATTAGATCTTAAATTTGATTTTTTTATTCCAAAATATTTATTTTTTAGGATTTATTAAATTCAGGGATATCCCTCTTTGGTCCTGGAAAGGGTTTTTCCTAACCAGAAATAGGAGCTATAGGGTTAAACTCAGCAATGTATGTTATCTTTTTTTTTCCACAACAGAAACATTAGTACTAACTCAATGTGACACACCCAAAACCTCAAGTCCATACATTTCAAAACAAAAATGTATATCAACTACATCCCAGTTTTGGAACTAATTAGCAAGTGGTATATGTATGATTTTTTTAAAATTACCTTCCATTGTGCTTCAGGTGAACCTGAAATAACAGCTTTCCGTTCATCTCCAGAATGACTAAAAGGATTGTTTTCACCCGATCCATTTTTATCGTTGGCCCCCAGGATCTAAAGGAAGACATCAAAGTCAACAAACAAGTTAATGATGAAGAGAAATGTAAAACTGTAAGTAGAGACATGGAGCTAGACACTTATCTAGAACCAGACCCATTCCCTCAAAGTATTTACCTTGATACGAGCCCCTGATAAACGCATAATGTTTTTGATGTTTTGCCCTTTGCTTCCAATAACAGCCCCGACAGATTTTTCAGGTATATACAGCTGTACCACTTCAGGCTGTTGTACTTGAGGCGGGCCATTGAAAGCTCCTGGGTAGTAAGCAGCCCCCTGAAATAAGTCATCATAAATCATTGGTACATTTGAGAAACAATTATTTTATCAGTGCCTGTAGTAAAAAAGCAAGGATTTCTTGACAATATTTTTACAATTAGACAATGAACTGTAAATATGCCACTTTTTGCTGTGTAGACAGTAAGGTTGAAAAACAGTACATTTGTTTTTTTTATGAGATCCATATTGCATCAATAGTTCATCACATACACATGACTTATTGAACTGACACAATCATTCACTTTGCCACTGTTTAAGTTTATTTCTTCATAAAGAAAAATTGCTACTGTTTATGAGCCATCAGTTTTTTTTTTTTTACAAGTTTCAAATTCAACCCAAAAATCAAAAATAAAAACACTGCTATTTACTTAGGAATATGTAAAATCTACTTGGTTTTTCAGTTATTTACAAAATGAGCATGTATTTGTCATTGTGTCTTAGTTTGAAAACAAAATGTTTATTGGTTAAGGAATGTATAACAGTGATACACTGTCTTTAATAGAGCACTACAAAAGTAAAGTCCCCTTTCACATGTTATATTTATAGAACCGAAGATGTAAAGGTACGGTAATCTGTATCTTTGGCCAAAGTTAAAGAAGGTGTCATGTGGCCAGCACAACAAACCACCTTTACTTTCCCCAACTTAGGTACCCACTAGAAGTGGGTGGTTTCAGGGGCCTCCTAAAAATCCAGAAGTTCAAAAACCATCTTCACCAAGATCGAACCTGGGACCCCACAGTTCTGAAGCCACCATGCCCCCACCAATGTCTTTTATCAAATAGAGTGCATTTCTAATGTTTCGGTGATAAAGCCTAATGTAAAGGAATGTATTTACCATGTAAGGGATAGGTGGTCGCATTGTCTGGTATGGTCCCATGCCTGGCATTAATGGAAGCCCTGGCATTCCTGGAAACATCATATGCTGCTGGTTGCCATACTGAAATAAAAATACGGTTATCTAATTGAAGTAAGCTGCAAAAAGAGAGACATTTTTTTGTTGACCCTATCAACTAATTGTGTAGCAATTATATATGGGAATGAAACAAATACATCTGTACAACCTGTCTTCAAACTAAATGTTTTCTAACATCACATGTACAAAACAGTCGAAATATTTCATTCACCATCACATGCAGAAATCTGTCACTCACGTCAAATATAACATTAAGAAAATATCTGAAATAATTCTCCAGACTGTTGTCCCCATGGTTGAGGTTTGAACCTGCCACACCACCACCATCCCCAGGACTCCTCTGGAAGTCAATTTTTATTTTTTTTAAGGCCCATCTGAAACTTGACAAAATTCTTAACATTATCACAATGTATTCCTTCACCCACCTGAAACGAGCCAGCGTCTTGTTCAAAACACTGCCTCATTTTCTCACTGATTTTCTCTTCTGCCTCTGAACAACTTTCAGTGGAGCCTGTGATTGTAATGACTCTGTCCACAAAGTTGCTGGTGGAGTCCATCAGACCACCAGGAAAAGGATCAAAGCTAAAACATTGTAAATAGTAAATGACTCAAAAGATTGAATTCTCCCATAAATCAAACTTAACATCAAAGCATGTCCAAAAAAAACTGGTACCTAGAAACAACAATATTTGTGTTAGTTTTCTCCATAAAGACTTTGATCACGTTGCCTTGTTTACCAATAATTCGACCGCAGATGCTGTTTGGACACAAGATTCTGAAGGGAACATCTCTGCAATTATCAGAAAGAAAAATGAACTCAGATGTGTGTTAGTCAAATAGTACAGTTTAAAATTAGTTGTTTACTTAAAAAAGAAACCAGAGAAAAGATAGCTTGTAATACTATCCATTGAAATTGATTCTTACTTTATAAATGAACAAGCTCTCTATATTACTGCTAAATAGCTCAAAATGTTGACTACTTCTATATTCATTTAAAAGAGACACC